ATGTATGTATGTATGTATATGTATTTATGTATATGTATATATATATATATATACACATACATTCATATGTATACATACATACATACATACATACATACATACATACATACATACATACATACATACACACATACATACATACGCAGATCTAAACTATACCCCCAAACCCTGTTCTAATTATTAAGCCTTGGGCATCCAATCAGGGGTTTAGGGTTGAGGGCATGGGTTGAGGGTTTCTGAAGATGAGACTTGTTGTTTTGTGATGGGTGGCGATAGTGCCGCGATTCTGTGAACTGGCATGCGCTGTGTGCTCTGTGAATGCACATGGCTCCAACGACCTCAACGACGGGCTTGACAGAGATGCAAATCTATATCTATCTATATATATATGTGTGTACACATATACATTTGTACATATGTGTGTGTTTATATATATATATATGTATATATACATATATATATATATATATATCTATACACGTGTACATACAAATACGCGAATATGCACACTGAAGTCCGTGAACATCTATAGCAGCTATGGATTTGGTAAATATTGCCCAACTCCTGCTTGGCGTAGAAGTTTTGCTGCTGCCCGTTGTTGTCACGCACCATGTCGCTTACTGTGGAAGTTTCACTGCTGAGTGGCAAGACGGCTACACTGCGAGCAGACGTGGAAGAACCGGTGAACATGTTGCAACTTCGAGCGCAGTCCGCACTTGGTGTCGGGAAAGGGCGGCTGGTGGACTCATGTGGAAAGACTCTGGATGCTTGCGTGTTGGTCAAGGATTCCAGGGTGCAGAATGGGGATTCGCTTACCCTGCACATATCTAAAGTCCACCTGTGTGGCAATAATTCAGCTTTTGCAGCGATTCTTGGAGATGCATCCGTCGTGACATGGGGTCATGCTGGTGCTGGTGGTGACAGTAGCTCTGTGCAGGATAAGCTGCGGAACGTGCAGCAGATCCAAGCCTCTGCCATGGCTTTTGCTGCCGTTCTTGACGATGGATCCGTTGTGACCTGGGGTAATGCTAGCTTTGGTGGTGCTAGTAGTGCCGTGCAGTATCGGCTTAAGAATGTGAAGCAGATTCAGGCTTCTGCCAGTGCTTTTGCTGCCGTTCTTGGCGATGGCTCTGTTGCCACCTGGGGTGATGCTGAGTGTGGAGCTGACAGCTACGATGTGCGGGATCTGCTGAAGAATGTGCAGCAGATCCAAGCCTCCGACGTGGCTTTTGCTGCCATTCTTGGTGATGGATCGGTCGTGACGTGGGGGGATTCTGAGGGTGGCGGTGACAGCAGTGCTGTGCAGGATCAGCTGAAGAATGTGGAGCAGATCCAAGGCACTCGAGGAGCTTTTGCCGCCGTCCGTGACGATGGATCTGTCGTGACATGGGGTGCTGCTCATTTAGGTGGCGTCAGCCGTGCCGTGCAGCATCAGCTGAAGGAGGTCCAGCAGGTTAAGGCCACCAGCAGTGCTTTCGCTGCCGTTCTTAACAACGGATCTGTCGTGACCTGGGGAAAGCCTGACGATGGTGGCGACAGTAGCGCTGTGCAAGATGAGTTGCAGAATGTGCAGCAGGTCCAAGCCACCAGCTGTGCGTTCGCTGCCATTACCAGCGATGGAAGCGTCGTAACCTGGGGTTTTCATTCCCGAGGTGGCGACAGCAGTGCTGTACAGCATCAGCTGAGGAACGTGAAGCAGATCCAAGGCTCTGAGTGCTCCTTTGCTGCCATTCGGGGCGATGGTTCAGTCGTGACCTGGGGTGATGCTGGTTATGGTGGTGACAGTAGCGCAGTGCAGGGTCAGCTGAAGGATGTGCATCATATCCAAGCCGGTCGCTTTGCTTTTGCTGCCATTCTTGGCAATGGCTCTGTCGTCACCTGGGGTGATGCGCGCCATGGTGGTGACACCAGCGCTTTGCACAGTCAGCTGAGGACCATGTAGCAGCAATGTAGCAGCTGCAGCTGCACAGCACCGACCTGAAAACACATCCGCCTCGACACAATGCTGGCATTGAACCTCCGGTGGGTTTTTAGTCCCGGTGCCTTTAGGGACAAGGTTTCCCACCTGGATGTACGGAGTTGCTTCAACTTTGAGCTTCCTTTACCTGAAGCAGTGCTCGTTCCATGTCGGTTCTTTCGCTTGCGGATGATCCCCTTTCTATCGGAAGAAGCGGCACTTGACATTGATCATCTCCTATACGTTTTAGGGATAGGCTTGTAGGGTTTAGGGGTCATCCGCATTGAGACTACTCAAGGAAACTTTAAGTGTCGATTCAGCGGTTTCGTTTAAATGTAGCTAGTCCCGTTTAGAAGCACTACACCTGCCTGTTTCGGACTGATAGGATTTCGGTACCCTAAACCCTGAGCAAGCAATTGAAACCTTTTCAGGGCATGCCCTAACCCCGAACAACATACCTTTAACAAGGGCTTGTATAAGGAAATCGTAATAAGCATCGTGTGTTTGTTTGTTCGGAAGCTGATGTCCAGGACTAGAACCCTGCTCCCAGTGCTGCGAGCTTTTTATTGGGACATGCGACGCCCTGATTGAAATAATACTTCCAGCAACCTTAGATAGGATCCTCATGCAAGGACCTCCCCCCCAAAAAATCTAATGCACCTTCGTTCTGTGATGTTTCCATTCTTATGCACGACAGGTGCACGCTAGATCCTTTTTGACGCCTTATCGAACCCTTACAGACCCATTTTAGAACCCTTATAGAACCCTGAAAGAAGCCTTATAGAACACTTTGTAGAGCCCTTGTAGAAGCCTTATATAGGACCCCTGGGAACGTGGCCCCTAAACCCAACTCGAACCCCTTAGCCCTAAGCCCTAAACCCCTAAACCCCTAAACCCTAAACCCTAAACCCTAAACCCTAAACCCTAAACCCTAAACCCTAAACCCTAAACCCTAAACCCCTAAACCCAAAAAACCCTGAAAAGAGAGGTGGACATCCACTTCGAAGGCCTCGGCTCCGAGGGTCCCTCGGGCTCGGAGGCCCTCCTCGGGGGTTTCCATGGCTTTTGGGTTTAGGGTTTAGGG